TTATTAGCACAATATGCTCGCACAAATCCGTCGCCACCGCAACCTTGATGACGCTCGGCGTCCTTTTTGACTTTGCATTGTGGCGAGCACAATAGCCCCCCCTACCCCACCACCACCACCATGTGCCGTCCCTCCGGCTAATGAACGGCACACGTTGCTCTCGTTTGTGCCGGCGTTTGACTCAAGGTCAGCCGCCATTGTGGCCCTCGTTAATAAGTGTGTGGCGTTTCAAAAGGGAAAAGATTCGACAAGATTCTTCAGCTTTTGCCAGACTCGTCGTGGTGGAAGAAAAACACCTGCAACAGCTGTAAAATGAGCAAATGAGCGGCGGTGTCTAGTTGAAATCGGAGAAGAAAAAAAAAATAAAACGGTACTTGGTTTTGCACGGTGTGTTTATTTCGAACGGAAAAATTCAACGTTGGATTTAAGCAGGGGCTTGATGGCTAATCCTCGAAATCGTGATCAAATTTTGATGTCATGCTCCACCCACGCGATTGGCTGAATTTGCTTGTCAAATGCAAAATGGCTGCCTCAAATCAAAATGGACAAATGTCTGTTGAACTTCAAAAATGCGTCCTTGAGACTTTTTTGTGGAGCCCCGTTAAGATCTGAGTGGACCTGCTATCAAGTCAAATCTCAAGTCGGTCGTGCTCGATTGGTGAAGGGTTGAAGATCGTTCTCTGGTAAATCTGGGGCACATGAACAGCAACCCCATTTGGCCAAAATTCAATTCCCCGACTGACTTGTCGGGAAGCTGCTGTCGGAAATTCTTGGTTTGGTGAAGTGTTTGGCAAATCAAGCTTCGGAAGCCGCGGGCCGAGTCACAGCAAGCTCATCCGTTCGTGTTTCCGAACCGCCCGTCCTCACTCGGGTCGCCGCCGCGTTGGCGCCGATCTCAGCTGTCTTCTGGCGCTAGGCTGGCCAAAATTCAAAGACCCCCAACCAAAATTTACATCAGTCCAATTGTGAAGGGCTCGGTCTCTGAAAATCATAGAATGAGCAGACAATTGTGACCACAAGTGGGCGCTGTTAAGCCCCAAATTCGGTTTGTTTGTTACTTGGGGGATTTAGTCATATCATAACAGGACTTGAATTTAGTCGAAATTCTACAACGCAATAGACTTTGGGGGAAGCTTTAGGTGAGAAATATCGAGTTGGCCAAATTTTGGTAGAGGCAACGGTAGCCCTTCAATATAATCATTGTAAGGAGCTTACAAAAATAGGTGAGGTTTTTTTTTAGGCGGGGGGGGGGTGTCCAGCCCCCTCAAAAGAGGCAATTTGTGTTTTTTTTATAGTCCTTCAAAGGCTTGGAATGTAATTGTTGAAGAACCCTTTTACCTCTTTTGCTTGTGTCACAAAGCAGACCTCCCGCTTCCTGTTTGAGGAAGACCCTTGGACAAGATGCTCCCCGGCCTTTTAAAGGACATTTTGTCCCTATTAAAACATGGGGGAGGGGGTTCCCCTCGGTCAAAACGTTGGACTTGTTGGGTGGCAACAGGAAGCGCTTCTTTTTTCCTTTCGTGATGACAAGCATTGAGCTGGACTTTTTCACGGGCCTTCTCATATTTCTTGCAATATTTGGCCAATTTCCCGCTAATTTGTAGTTGTTTGTGTCATTAAATAATTAATCATTTTACAAGAATTTTAAAATAAAATAAACAATTTAATAATTTATAATTAAATATTTTTATTTTGATTACATTTTTTTTATTGCCAATAAGAAAATGAAAACTATACGTAAAAAAATTAACTAAAAAAAAAAAAAATCGGCAACGGATGGACGAAACAGAAAACATGAATAAACGAAGGAAAACACACAAATAAATGGGTGTTCTGCTGACATTCACATTTCACCTTTGCTCAAACTTGGGCCCCTTGAGCAAAAAAAGTTTTGTCCGCCCCTGCTAAAAAGAGATGCACGCGATCAACTTCACTTTTGTCAAAATGCACCTCTAAGTTGCATTTAGCGGGGAGCAGACGTCCGCTTCTTGGCTTCGCCGTGTGACGGACAGCTGAGGCGTGTCAGCGTGTGTCTATGAGTGTACGTGTGTGCTTTTTGTCCATCCTATGAGGTCGCTCGTCTCACAGGTGGACTCCATGTTGGGTGTGTGCAGGACCCGCCGCGGACCATGATGAATGACTCTCGCGTCTGCGGTTGAAAAACGTCATACATTTTCCAGCGACCATCATGCTTTGGGGGTGAGTAGCAGCCGTCTTGGCGACTTGCAGTGCGGTGAAAATCGACATCAATCACACAGGTGTTAACAACTCACATTCTTTGGCCTTGCGCCCTTGATTTGGATACATCTTTACTTGTCTTCGTACAGCCACGCCAAGAATTTTAACAGTCATTGATTGAATTCCGTCAAAAAATCTGTGGCTGAAGTGGCGAGCCCTGCGGAACCTCACCTGTGTACTTCTTTGCGAGGTTCACAAATCAGGTTTTGGTTTGGTCACATTTGTTAACGATTTAGCCTTGGCGATTAGCGCATGAGAATTGATCCGTCTATTGTTAAGAATTCAGTTGATTGTCTGGAATCAATTGTCAATCAATCGGTCTGGAAGCGATTGAGTGCCCTACTGCGACCGTCGCAGGTGCTCTTGATTCACTCGCAACGCGTTTGCGGTTTAATGAAGCACATTCCTTATATGAATTAAATGTGTCCAAAATATAGGCAGTGTATCTTTTATGAACATGGATTAAATGATCGCGAATGCTACCCCATAGTTTGGCAAGGAAAGGTAATCAAACGCCTATCTCTCGCCATCTCGATGAGCCTAAAAATGGCAGACATTTATTCTTGATTGAATCATTGAGGCGAAAGCAAAGGTAGAAGGGATGGGCACCCCCTTTTTTATTTGATTTTAAAACATGGCATGAAATAGCCTTGAAGGTAAACAGTCCACTTTGACACATTTGTTTTAGTGACGTGCTCAGATGTAGCAGCCGCACACAAAAGCGTTTTATTTTCCTTTATTCTCGAATGATTAGAGTGCTGAGGGGCAAGGGAGCAGACTTGCTGTTCTCGCTGCATAATAAAAATAGAAGAATATATAAATAAGAATATATCTTTTTTTTTGCGGGGGGTGGGGTGTATGTACAATGACTTGGTCATTCAAGGGACTCTCCCTTCTCCTGAATGTATTGTGCTAACGCGTGGAATAATTTCTTTCGTACAAAGATCGACATTGTTGCTAATTAAAATGGAACGCGTCTTCCATTCATGCATGAACGACAAAACGCAACATACGCTACCAAAAAAAAAAAAAAAAAAAAATGGTGTACCTGCAGTTATGACTTTAAATGGTAATATTGGCCACAAAGGGGTGGTGCTTCAATGCATAATTAGCCCTTTGTACACTTTTGTACACAAATGTGTATATTTATTCAAATGGTTAAAATCGAGCTCACAATGACAGTCACGATGGATCGTCGCGATACGAAGCGACAACTGCTCGGCGCTCGGCTGCTTTGGTCTGGAAAGTGGGGGCTCATGCCCATGAGCTCAGGGAACGTGTGTGTGTGTGTGTGTGTGTGTTTTTGAATATGGTTTATCAGTGTACGTGTTTTGTGTGTGTGTGTGTGTGTGTGTGTGTGTGTGTGTGTGTGTGTAAGCTGCCTCCCCATGTAATTGGCTGGAATGTTGGAATCACCAATGCCATGTTCATAATTGTGTCATTTGTGTGTGTTGTCCATGTGAAATTCATTGTGAATTTGCTCACAGTTCCATTAAACCACAGCTCCAAAGAGAGACGGCATGTTCTGAAACGAGGAGATAGCGGAAGCGGCGCTCATCACCGATTGATATCGCGCGCGCACACACACACACACACACACACACACACACACACACACACACACACACACACACACACACACACGGCCCCTGGAAAAGGAAAATGATTCTTCCTCCTTTTGTTTACATTACAGGTAAGATACTAGTACAGCATTGTGTGTCTTTTGTTCACCTTTTTGAAAATAAGGATTCTGTACATTTAAAAAAATAAGAGATGAGTAAAAAAGCTCATCATTTGACATCCCCTCCCCAACATGGAAAACAGCTTATGTGAGTATGTTTCATCATCTCATTAACATGGGTTAATTTTATTCTTTTATTCTAATCTGGGTTCACATGAAAAATGTCTTGAGAATAAATATCTTAAAGATGGTGGTAAAAATCCAATAATTTTATTAAAAAAAAAAAAACAAGAAACAGCTCATACACATGGAGTATTTATTTTTCAGACTTTGGGTTTAAAAAGAATTTAGTTTACACATTGTGATCTCTTTTTACATGTGGATCAATTGTCTTTTTGTCTCAAAGAAAAGGTTGGAAGATGATTTTAAATGAATAATAATAATAATCATTTACACCCAAAATAGAAAGCAAATAGACATTTGTTCTTCCCAATCTCAATAAAAAAATTATATATATATAT